GTGGCACATACTCGCATACCAGGGACACATACACGCCCATGGGTATGTGCCACTGTCTGGCGGCAAGTGTTTGACGACGTGCGCGATGGGATTGTGGCAATATTCATGTCTTGACCAGCGTGTCATATTCGTCAAATAATCTCACCCTCCCACGCTAATTTTAGTTCACGTTAAATTTAGGGGGTGACCACGAGAGCACCCATACGTAAGCGGATAGATGGATATATACGCTCAAATTCACCGAAGTTCGCTAAGAAATGCTTCGCATTTAAAAATGGAGGCTGGTGGTTTCGCCCGAGCTTAAGAACAACAATACAAAAAAACTAGATGCGGGGGTTTGCCACCTTTCCTTAGTTTGTCACGTATGTAGTCTTAGAGAAACATAGAAGCGATCCGTGCAAACATATAATGGAAAACTATGATCTAGCGGATTCTGAGCTAGACCCGAGACTTTTCAAGATGCTTCTGTAACGCGTCATAGCTGGGGCTCGATTACCATATTTAGAGGTACGGTTTAAAAGCTGGCAGAGAGAAATACAAGAAGAAAGGCTATAGAATACAGATGAGCGAAATACATCCCCAGCGTGAACTTACTTGATAAGTTATCTTTCTCGTCCCGTGTTATAATGTGGGAATTATTTGAGATAATCTAGTTACTAAAGTATTTCATGCAGCGAAACGTGCATCGACCAGTTGAGTAATACAGTATAAAATTCGCGCTTTGGAGAAACACCAAGGGAAAGATATATTCATAGTTTCACCTCTTCTTATTAAAGCACTGAGATCAACGGCACTAAAAAGTTAGAGGCATATATGCAAAAAAGGATATTGAACGCTAGCTCTGCGTCAGGACATAGATGTTGACCGCACTTGCTTTTGTCTGGGTAGGCAGAGGAAAATGAAAATGAATACAGAAAGGTGAGCCGTATATTATCGGGTTTGGAGGTGGTGGTGGTGGTGATGTTGCCACAGGCGGGGTTAGGCTGGCAGACCTGGCCACCAATTGCTCCGACTAGGTGACTTTTTTTATGTAGTTCAGCTTACCATAGATCGGTTAATCATGTCTCTCGGAGAAAACGTAAGAGTAAGTTAGTCACTTGTTTTCGCATTAACCGCACACTTGCCGGAAACACAATGTCCTCGCGGAATCCATGAGAGAACCCTCGTTTCTTCATGCTGCCAATTGATGTCTCTCCTTCACAGCAGAAATGCCTGGACGACCAGATATAGCGCTGAATTCCTCGACTTCATTGCATTCAGTGCAGAGTGGGGAGGGAGCGCCCCTGACTTTAAATAACCACGCAGAAGTGTGTGGTGATCGTGTTCTTATTCTGCATAGCAGAGTTGACTCGTCCCAATGAGGGCCTCTTGTGACACGAGGCTAATGGGGCGAATTCCAGAGATAGCCGAAATGGCATCGAATCGTGTGTTTTAGTAGTAGTTGGTTCATAGGAGCTGGTTTTCTAGCCTGAAATGGTGTGGATAATAGGGGTTGAAGAGAGAGCTAGAAAAAAAATGAGGTGAAGATAAGCAGGTATTTTATGAAAGCTGTTGCTCCGTCAAGCCTTCCTACCTGATTGATCGGCTTGTTTGCTTCAGAAAGGAAAAACTTACCACCGTAATGCACAGACTGTCATGGCAGTGTGGCTGGAAGTTACGTTTAGGATCTTGTGCGAACCATGCGGAGATAATTAACACGTCACATAGACTGCCTAGTACAGCGTTTCATTAGCGTTTCAGTAATCTGTTTCATTTGACATGGTCTGTGCAAGTCGGCCACCCAAAAATGACTTGATTTAGCTCATTTGTGGGGCAAGAAAGGCGCCAATACATTGACATCATTGACCTCAAAATTGATGGTGCTGAAAAAAAAACTAACCACTAAAGGTTATATAAACAGTGGGCTTATTATCTGGGGCTTATTATCTAAGAGCTTAATTGAAGCAAAAGTAGATTTGAAGAAAAGAGGAAATTGGATAAAGAAGTCTCATCAAAACCGAGTTTCCTGCGTATAAGAAAACATATATAGAGGCCAAAATAAAAATTAAATCTTTCAGAGGTAGTAACGTCAAGGCGGAGACAATTTAAGAATGCCACTCAAATCGTACCTCTGAAGTTTTAGGGGCGAAGCTTCTTATAGCGGCACCCGTTCGTGCCCCGTAGTATGTGACAAGTATAAAATTTTGACCTCCACGGTGGTGCTGGTGAGAGACTTCTTCTGTGTGTTGTTGAACAATAAAAAGTAGTGCTCAATGTACATGTCAATGACTGCTAATGGGGAATGAAAGACAGGAGCATTCGGCTTTTAGTTAACGCGCAGGCTGCGATCACCATTAGCAGCCATTAGCATGTACATTGAGCACTATCTGACAAGAAAGGGTTGCTACGTTATACTCGCTGGGTGTAACCTCCTTAGCTTTAGAAAGGTTTAGCGAGCGTTGAGCCGCAGTGCCATGAATACAATGAACTTGTATATACCATGAATGAACTCGAGGTGGTTAAAAATGGGGAGTAGATACGAAGCGCAAGCCATAAGAAAGTGAAAGCCGAATTCTCAGCCTCTCATTTCCCATTAGCAGCCATTGGCATGTACCTTGAGCACTATCTGACTGAAAACGTTTGCTACGTCATACTCGCTGGGCGTAACCTCTTTGGTTTTCGAAAGGTTTAGCGAGCGTTCGGCCGCAGTGCCATGAATACAGTGAACTACTATATACCATGAACTCGAGGTGGTTAAAGGTGGGAAGTGGACCCGAAGCGCAAGCCGTAAGAAAGTGTGCGTGTGCCACCTCTCGTTTAGTCCTTGGAATGTCCGCTGGATGGCGGTGCTTCTATATGGGGAATATATGATGAAAAGATGCGAGATGGTGGTACTTGGAGTGTTGAATAGATGGACGAACGGACACATAGACAGATGCATGGATGGACGCATGAACGGACGCAGGGGCAGCTGCATGGACGAACGCAGGGACGGACGCACGAACAGACGCACGCACGGACGGGCTGATGGACACATGGACGGTCACACTGACGGACGCATGGACGGACGGAAGCAAGAACGAATGGACGGACGAATTCTTCGCCCCACTCTCCATCATTCACTCCATGGATATGCTGCCATTTTTTGTTTCTTTTTAATGAATATTAGCACTTAAGCTCAAAAAGCAAAATGAACAATTGACACCCTCACAAGCAGTAATGGGTCGTCTCGCTTTTACCAGAAACTGCATAACAGAAGTTCTTCCAATCAAGCTATGAAGACCAGAAAAAAAAAAGGGAAGAGAGACGAGTTTTTAGTGGTGTTTATATCATTTTTTTATTTGCACGAAGGAAGAGCATTTAAAAAAACAATGCCTTCGTGTTTGTACAGTTATGGAGACCGTGCCTTTCAGCGGTACAGGTGTACCCTCTCAGGCAACTCGGCTTTACAGATTAAAATTTGGCACTCTATTGTTGCCTAAGAAGGAACCTTGAAAGGAAAATCAGTCCAAGTTTAAAGGAATACGGAGCAAAAATTGCAAAAAACTTACGATACATCGAATTTATACTCGGAAGATGCGGCTGTTCCGATCAACTGAGTTCATTTCCTGTATTTTTGAACAGTTCGCTGTATCTTTTGATGGATTCTCAGGGGAGCAGGAGTTGAACGCGAGCGCGTGCCGTGACGTCACAATCACCGATGGGCATGCGGGGTGCACGTTTTCCTGCCCACTTCCTTTTCTCCCCATCTCCTTTCATCCCACTCTCCCTCTTACACGAAAGCGTTGACGTTTTCCCCCATTTGGGAGCATTGTTCACTACCGGTGTTGTTCTTACCGGTTCTGGAAACCATAGGGGGGGGGGGGGGGGCTGAGCGAGTCGAGAGAGACGCGGGTGGCGGCGGGTATGCCCGTTTCGGATGTTCGTGACGTCACCAAACGCCATCTTTTGTAGTGGCCCTCCACTAAGGCATCCAACCTAATCGGACAATTATTTTATCATTTTACATAGGTTTACCTTATGACAGTACCTCCCGAGGCATCTTGCTCAGATTTCTGTTACGGAGCAAGGGCAACCGCGTGAAGACTCGCTAAAGCTATCAACGCTTTCAATGTAATGCGGCTTCATGTGAAAATGCAGCTGAGAAGAGGAACTACCAACGGAAATATCTGCACAGTGGTTTGATTCAGTGAAAGAGGCCATGCATGCAGTAGACTCAAAGATAAAAAAAAGGCGTCAACCAAACTGCTAAACAGTCACACTCTCAGCTGATCCGCTGACCTTTTTTTACCAAGGCCACGATGGGAAACCGGGTGGCAATAATAATAAAAAAAGGTTGCGCTCCACGCACCAGCATTTCTGTATAGAGAGACAACAGCCTAAAGATAGCTCCTTCTCTTGTCTGTTTTTTGCCATGTCGTCGAGCCACCAGCCGTTCTTCGTTCCTGCTGTCCCTGTACGCGGCAGAGAAGAAGGTAAAGGGAAAACATTTCGCGGGGAGTGTATAGGGAGAGTTCCTCCGCATCCTCTCTTTCGATTGGTCCTCCCGGGGGCGCGCGCTCGCGCCAGCCACGAAGCCTCGCGAACACGCGAACTCCCCACCAGCCTCTCTTCGCGAACCTCCTCTCTCGAGCGAGGGCTTCCCTTTCTTCCCCTTCGCTCGGCGCGGCGTCAGCGGCGGCCCGGGTTTGAAATCGGGACCAAAACTCCTCCGACAGTTTCCCGGACAGGACGCGTCTCTTCCACCCGTTTTTATCCGTTCTTCTCGGAGCTTTGCGCGCTTCGCCCGTTATGACCTGCTGACAGCTACCCTGGGAGAGCAGGAACGTCAGTGACAGACGGGACGTGGTGGTGGCTTTCGTGCAGTGCAGTGTCGGCCTCCGGTCGGAGCAACTTGGCTACGGACCATGGCCTACGACATGGACACCAGTTCCTCCTCGGAGTTGTCAGCCGACGAGTGGTCGTCGAGAAACATTACCGGAGCTGGTGGCGGTGACAACAGCTCGCCGCAGTACCTCTCAGAAGGCGAGGAAGAGGAGCCGCTAACCACAGTGGTCGCCATGACCGTCGTGTACGCGGTCATCCTCGTCACCGGCGTCACGGGGAACGTCTGCACGTGCATCGTGATCGCGCGAAACCGGTACATGCACACGGCGACCAACTTCTACCTGTTCAGCCTGTCCGTGTCGGACCTGCTGCTCTTGCTGCTGGGCTTGCCGCAGGAGATGTACCAACTGTGGCGCAAGTACCCGTACGCCTTCGGCGAGGCCTTCTGCGTGCTCCGAGGCCTGACGTCGGAGATGTCGACCAACGCTTCAATTCTGACGATCACGGCGTTCACGGTGGAGCGTTACGTGGCCATCTGCCATCCGCTCAGGGCCCACACCATGTCCCAGCTTCCGCGGGCCATCCGCTCCATAGTGGGGATATGGATCGTAGCCGGCGCGTTCGCCGTGCCGCTAGCGCTACAGTTCGGCATAGTGTACCAGCCTACCGCGGACGGGTCGGGCTTCTTGCCGGAGACCGCGGCGTGCATGCTCAAGCGGCCCGTGGAGCACGCATTCACCGTGTCTACGGTGCTTTTCTTTGTGCTGCCCATCAGTGTGATTTCGGTGCTGTACATCCTGATTGGTCTCCAGCTTCGCCGCTCAAACGCGGCTACGCGACGCGACTGCTCTCCGGATATGAACGGCAAGAGCCACCATCCGAGGAGTAACGCCATGGTCCCCATGCGCACACCGAGGCAGTCCGGTGGAGGGTCCAAGCGTGCCGTAGTCAAGATGCTAGGTAGGCCTTATTATTTTGTCCGTGCATAAATTACGTCTTTTCTTTTACATATTCACAGCTGAAGCTTCGAAGTGTTCGTTTTTGATGCTACCTTATAAGGTGTTGACGAAAGTAGAGGCGGGAGACATTGAGAGAGGAGACGTGGAAGAAGGCAGAGAGCACTAGATGCCCTCAGTGTCTGCCACGTCAACGTCTGAAAGAGGGTGCCCTAGTGTATTTCGGGAAGATGGGAATAGCAGGACGCTTTTTCTGTGACGCTTGAAGGAACTCGGTTTAGAGTTCCCTCCTTCTCCACTAACTCCTCCTCCTTTCCCCTCTACCCACATACATTTCTCAGCGTTTCTTGCGAGCACATTCAACGCTAGCCTATGAGACAGTTCTTTGTGGGATTGCAGTTATAGCCACGGGCAGATAGCTGCATGAGATCTTTTCTTTTTTTTCATTTATAATCTATGATTGCCCTGGCCCAGCATAAACAAAAAAGTAACATAACATTTGTCCCAGCCTATTATGCTGTATATTGCTTACTATCACTTAAATTTGTTGCTGAAGGCCCGAGGTTCTGGGACTTTGCAGTAAACATTTCCGTTTCATTCTTGTATTTGTTTCACCATTGACGCCAGAGCGAGTGTACACCACTCGCTCATGACTTTTAGGAATTTATATTGATGAATAGCGATTTTATGCATCAGTGCTGCAATATTGAATAGAAAGAACCAGGTATTTGTGAAGTACACTGGCGTGTCTTAGTGTTATTCTCGAAAGCAATACGCACTACGACAAATGTTGAATGGATGGTTTTGATAGTCTGGCCTGATGTTGCTATTTGCCTTCGCAAGTTGTTTCTTGATTTATTTTTGCTAGTGCACTGCGCAAGAGCTCAATTATTTTTTAATAAATGGCGTAACGACACTTTCCCATCACTAATTCTGGCTGCTGACAGGAGAAGAATCTGTGCGACGTGCTTGCTTACGTTTCTTAAAGGAAATTCACTGGGACTTCATTCTTATTTTGTGCTCTTGTCGTCGTGCTGTATAGTAGAGTCACTCCGTACAATGTACAATGACCTTCACGCGAAACTCGTGTGTGCGGACAGCTTCTTTACGGATAATAATATTAAACACACACACACACACACACACACACACACACACACACACACACACACACACACACACACACACACACACACACACACACACACACACACACACACACACACACACACACACACACACACACACACAGCTTCTTATGGTTAGATAACGAAAAACAGTAAGTACCCATCTTTTGTTTAAAGTGGAAGTGCTCTTATGAATACGAACAAAATATTTTTGTAGACTGGCTGATACCCTACGTGAATCGCTTGCATAAGGGATCCCGTTTCACCCGCAAATGAGCCTCCCGTGCTTTCAATACAGGCAATAAGGCAAAAAAAAAAAACACTGAAACTGTAGACGCCACCATCAAAGCAAGAGAAGCTAAAGCATGACGAGAAAGGTTGAATGTTTACAAAAGCGCCATATAGAAGCGCTTTCTCACATTGTACAGGAGCAAAGCAGAGAACCAATTTCCTGCATGTCCTCAGATTTCTGTGTCCCACGCGAACGCCAAAACCAGAGGGACTGAGAAAATGTAGGTTATGAACTGGATATACGTATTGCACTTTATCCTGTTTTGTTTTGTGTGCTCACAGGTAACGATTGTTTTTTTTTTTTTGTAGTGAACCATGATACGAACGTTTCGGTAATGTTATTCTCGTCAGTGCTTTTAAAGAGCTGAGGTATTCAACAGGCGCTCTTCAATAAACGCTGGACCCAACGTTTCCAGGTGAACCATTGCGCGTCCAGCTTTCAGGCGAAGCATGCTGTCTAGACAGCAGCCCATGAGAATTGAAAATGTTTGCTCGCTGGAAGCTGCCTTGAAACAGTAGGCGCACGTAACCCCAGTGTTATGCTCCTCGCCGCTTGCATTTTGAATATCGCCGATCAGAATTTCACGCAGACTCGCGATTTCATGGGCTAGAAAACTCCTAGGGCCCATTTCTTGTATGACTGATTCAGCATAAACACAGGTAAGCCGATGGTATGGTCGTTTGTTCTTTTTAAAACCATTAAGGGCTTAGAAAAGCATGAGTAAATAATAGCAAAAAGATTAGATAGATAGATAGATAGATAGATACATAAATAGATACATGGATAGATACATAAATAGATAGATAGATACATAAATAGATAGATAGATACATAAACAGATACATAAATAGATACATAGATAGATAGATACATAAATAGATAGATAGATACATAAATAGATACATAAATAGATACATAAATAGATACATAGATAGATACATAAATAGATACATAGATACATAGATAGATACATAGATACATAGATACATAGATAGATACATAGATAGATAGATACATAGATAAATAGATAGATACATAGATACATAGATAAATAGATACGTAAATAGATAAATAGATAAACAGATACATAGATACATAGATCCATAGATAGATACATAGATACATAGATAAATAGATAGATAGATAGATAGATAGATAGATAGATAGATAGATAGATAGATAGATAGATAGATAGATAGATAGATAGATAGATAGATCATGCATGCACAATCTAGATGGTCCGAGGAATACATTTTGATCCGTTTAAATTGGGTTTGACTTCACACGCTGCGCAGATGTTACACTCCTGTCATTTGTGCGAAGGCATATCGATTTTCTTTACACTAATCAGAACACTGTATAAATCTCCATTTCTAAAATCATTAGTGAAATTCAAGCTTTTTATTAGCCAGTGTGCATGCTGGAGACACCTCATTATTCATCCGAGTGTTGTGTGCTGTCTAGACGAAATATGGTAAGCGCGCCAACCGATTCGAACAGGTCCGCACCGAGCTCTCCGTTCCAAATATCTAACCCTCTCATCACCGCTTTCGGAAGTACACACCCAGCCGATGTGTTCTATGCATCGGTTGAATTGGGGGACACATTACGACACCAACTAGGCGTACAAAACAGTGAACAGACTGGGCGACGCAATCTACCAGCCGTATGCTGACGTAACTTTCGACGGTCTGGCCAGCAGAATGCAATCGCACATCCCTTTGGCGTCTACGTTCGTGTGGTTTGCGTAAGATGAACGATATTTAGGTATTTTATGTTGCTCGCGATTGACCTACGAAAAAAAAAAACTAACAAGCGAAGAGCTAAATGTATACAATATTACGGAGGGGTCTTGGTGCTACAATGTTTGCCGTTTTCTGTTTTTCAGAACTAATGTGTAGCAGCTCTACGGCAGGCACATGAGCAAGAACATGGTTATATTGTTGCACTTGCCGTTTCATGACCATACTAAGTGGCGTTGCCACGCGACAAAAAAAAAAGAAAGAAAAAAAACGAAGAAAAAAATATTCGGCGCCTGTTTGCCTTACGTAAGATCAGCAACACATGAACGAAATTCTGTAATGTTGGTCTTCACGTTCATGCCTTCCCATTTTGCGTCTGCTCCAGTTTGTGACGTACGCGGCGTCTGAATCGGTCTGCTTTGCTCGGAGACACCGTAGACTTACCATTCAATTACATAAATGACGTTAGCTGCTGTCGTTCCTCGTCTGCTTTTTTTCTTTCTCTGGTTGTCGGCCCCAAAAATAGTACAGTGGGTCATGACACCGTTAAATATAGGCTCACCACAAGACTCGCGAATAATACAAAAAAAAAAGAGACCGACAGTGTGCAATGCGGCAACGCTCAGCTGTGATCGGTTCAGTGACACTTGTCTGCAGAGGGACAGATTCTTACCATCTGTATATTACGCACCACAAAATCACTTCGCGAGCGATAATGCAGGACAGTTCTTTAATGAGTAGCCGTAAAGCGCGGGACATTGCTGGGGACCATAAACCGGTTATTGTCAGCGTCCATTTCAAACTTTATTATTTGCACTCACTGAAGCACGACATTTATCGATGTACCACGAGGACACCTGTGGGCACTACGTAGTTCGCCACGGTGGTATTTACGGGGCCGGGCTGCTCACAAGAGGGTCACGGTGTCAGTCCACGCTACGGCGATTGCAATTCGGGGGATGCGAAACGCTGGACGCTTGAGTACTGATGCCAGCGCACGTTAAAAAAAAAAAAAACATCGGAACCTCAAAATTTCTGGAGGCCTCCACTACGAAGACTCTCATGAAGATATCGTGGTATTGAGACGTAAAAGCTCGGTTATTTATTATTATTATTATTATTATTATTATTATTATTATTATTATTATTATTATTATTATATTCGCACTGCATGGGATGGGAACGCGTGGTAGAAAAGAAAATAACAATCGGTAATCCTTATTTTCGCTTCTGCGCACCTGTGTGATGTGATGCAACGACTGTCGTGAAATATCATTTCCTACGTAGCACCTATGCATAAGTAAGCTTACGAGTTTTCTTGCTCTTGATTTTTTTCCTCATTTGACTTTTCGGTGAAAACTGTTTTGATGTTTGCCATTGTCCAGTGTGAATAACCATTACTTGCATTTTGTTTTACAATTTTCATTAATATCTCCATTTCTAATCATGCTTGCACATGAAATAGAGGGTACTGTAACAATTCTCTTGCTTGGAGCCTTTACAGAAGGCATTAGGCAACGTAAATGAGTGAATAAATAAATAAATAAATAAATAAATAAATAAATAAATAAATAAATAAATAAATAAATAAATAGAGACTGAAGATAGGAGTGTCTCCCTATTATTTTTTACATGAAGGATTGTTAAGGACAGATTGAGATAAGTTAGACTTCTGTTACTTTAGGAAACACAGTATCTTGTACCAGCGTCTTACGGGCCCTCTCGTAGGGTCATTCAGTCGATGACCATCGAAACGGCACGACGCTATTGACTCAATGGAATTGTCGCGCCGCTACACGACAGTTGTGAACAGCCGTTGAGTGTTCCAGGCGTTCCTCGCCAAAATAGCGTGGCACTGCGGATGTTCATTTTCGCGCTGATGTCACTTGAAGTTAAATAATACAAGTTTGCCTAAGAACTAGGATATGTGTGTTGATTTTGTTGAAATATTTAAATAAATTGTTCTTCTCTAGTTACAAATGTACATTTAGTTATTAAGTTCTTGAAGAGAGAGAGAGAGAGAGAGTGAGAAAGGAAAGGCCGGGAGGTTAACCAGATATTAGCATCTGGTTTGCTACCCAGCGCTGGGCGGGGAAGTATGGGCAAGAAAGAAGGGGCAGATAGAGGGGAAAAAAGTTCTTGAAAATCGAAACTGTGGCGAGCGGTGCACAGCGAGATACAGCCCGATGAAGGCAAACACGTGGCTGATGTCGAGGTATGTGCAGTGCAGTTCGCACATTTTAAGGAATAAATATACTACATCAAAGAGTACACAACGTTCACACATATGGCTTTTGAAGCACACTGGTCAATCTTTTTTTTTTGTTTTCAATCGTCTGTGCGAGCAAACCGGTAACGAAAGTATACGTTGGCACTACTTCCGCTTCCGTCTCTCAATGGTAATCAAAGTTGCGAAGGAGACCTGCAAGCTACCGGCTCCTCCATTAACTCGAAGGACCA